TTGATAATAATCAGAAATGTTTCTTGAGCAGCAAATCAGCATATTAGAATGATTTCTGAAGATCATGTGACACTGAAGACTGGAGTAATGATGCTGAAAATACAGCTGCGCATCACAGAAATACATTACAGTTTAACAGAGATTCACATAGAAAACAGTTTTCTGTTTTACATTATAATAATATTTAACTATTTTTACTGTATTTGTATCAAATAAAGGCAGCCTTGGTGAGCAGAAGAGACTCTTTCAGAAACATTTAAACCCTAAACTCTAACAGTAGTGTAGTATTTGTATCACAGGTCATTTATATTTCTGTGGCAATAAATTAAAATTCTGTGCTGAATATGACATCAGTTGTTTCAGAAAAATGACAGTAATTGTCCTGTGATGGATGTGTGTGTGTCCATGATATGTCCATGGATAAAATTATGACTCTGTTGTCTGTCTAAAGTACAGTCTCAAGTAAAGAGAAATAATGAAATAATATTTCCAGCATTTTTCATTATTTGACAAAGTTACAGCTTGATTGTAGATGACACAACAGGTAGCCTATACTGTTCACAAGTGATATTTCCCCAGTAAAAAAGTCATATATTTAAAATACATTTATTTCATACTAAGTATAGTTCAAATCTATTAACATATTTACTGAGAGATAACTCAAGACTTACTGATCTAAAAATTATTTGGAGTACTACTTGTGCACAAAGCACATTTCTTAATATTAAGTCTAAAATGTGTTTTAATGTCACTTTTGATGAGGATTGTATGATCTTTGAATAATGTCGGTCTTCAAATTCAAGATATTTAAAGTGTACTTGCAATAGTTCCACTTTAGCACAAGCAAATGTACTTCAGTCTATCTTTAATTGGACTTACTTCCGCACAATTAAAGTGCATTAACTACAAAATTAGTTGTTCCAATTAGGCAGACTTTACAGTTTTTCTCGATTGCTAAAACACAATTTCTGAAATCTTGCTCCATTTTCTGAAAACATTAAACACAAAACCTCATCTTCAAGCACTATTTAAAAAACCCCTGACTCCTCTCGCAAAATGAAACTTTCGCCTCAAAACAGTTTTACCTGTGTTCAAAATCAAACATTGCTCTCAAATCATAAACAAAGTGATCAAAATGATATACACTATCAAGCAGTCAGTAAACAATACACCAAAAAATAGAAAACACATTGTTCAAAACATATAGTTCTCAGGGAGAAGTAAATTTTTAATCTCAAAACAAATGTAATATTTTTCCGTCATTGTCTTTTGATGAACGAAAACATGTTCTATCATAGTAGCTCAAAACTGATCAGAAATTACTACTCTGCTTTGCTCTTTGCAATTTTTTTTGTTCTTCCTCCTCCTTGTACCCCTATTTTTACAGTAGGGCCTACTGTACCCTGCATCTCACAAACTTGTCCTTTGTCTCTGTGATACTGTAATTCTTGTTCTTTGTTGCTATGAACCTGCAACCAGTCAAAATCTATTGAGCAGTCAGTACTGTTAACAAATGGAAAGCACAATGTTCAGGGCCATACAATTTGTTCATTGTACAGTATACAGCCTACAATGCACTGTACTACAGTATACAATACTAAAAGGGACAAAAATCAAAGGAGTAAACATGTGATCAATGTGCTTCTTCTTGTCTTTGGGCTGGGTCAGGCCAGAGCACTTCGTCGACATCACAAGCAATATTGTCCCTCCTGAGGCAACGAGGGAAGAAGCCTCTTGTGTGCCGTATCCAGCCCTGGCATGATTCCTCACCTATATCACCACAGGCTAAATCCATGGCTTGCAGCAGATTTACTCTGGTGTAGGGTTGTCTATCATATACTTTCCATCTCCAAGAGGAGAAAAACTCCTCAATCGGATTCAGGAAAGGCGAGTATGGAGGGAGGTACAAGTTCATAAACTGCCCATTGATGTTAAACCATTCCCTTACCTGAGCAGCTCGGTGGAAACTGACATTGTCCCACACTATCACATAGGTGGGAATGGGATTCTCATTTAGCTCTTGACCCTGCTGCTCTTGAACCTGCTGCTCAAATAAAATATATCTTAGATTGGCAATAAATCTTAGAAGGTGCTGGGTGTTATATGGCCCGAGTGTAACATGGTGATGTAGAACACCATGGTTGCTGATAGCAGCACAGATTGTGACATTGCCACCTCGTTGACCAGGGACTTCAACAATGGCCCGCTGTCCAATCATGTTTCGGCCTCTCCTTCTCCTCTTTGTTAGATTGAAGCCTGCTTCATCGACAAAGATGAAGTCATGGGGTCTGTCCAAGGATTCCAAGTCAAATATTGTCTGTGTAGAAATACAATATACTGTATTTAGAATTTTGTAAATCGTACAGAGACAGTGCTATACTGTAGAGTACAATTAGGCCTACTGTATGCACTTCTGATTCACATACATTGTATGTACTGAAGAGTAATGTCATTCACGTAGTATGTGTTAGTACTGTAGACAATCTGGATTACAGTAAATGTTTCTGAATGTACACTTACTTGCACATACTGAGCTCGCAGTTCTTTCACCCTTGGTGAGTTGCGCTCAAAAGGTACTCTGTATACTTGTTTAATTCGCATCCTGTTACGATGGAGGACACGGTCAATTGTGGAAATGCTCACACTGTCGATTCCCTGGAAGTGTGTGTTGTCTTGTATCACTCGTTCCTGGATTTCTCTGAGTCGTATTACATTATCTTGAAGGACTATGCCCACTATAACGGCCTCTTGCTCCCAAGTGAATATAGCTGTCCTTCCACCTGCATGTGGCAGCCTTGCAATTCTACAAAAAGTAGATGTGCAGTTACAAAAAATATTCATGCAGTACTATACATACAGTGATGAACTTTACAAATGTCTATTGAAACAGCTGCATATAGTGTAGTACAGTAAATTTGCTATTACAAAAATACAGTAGTATACTGTACCTGTTCTCTTCTCTGAATGTCCTTACTATGGTGGACACAGAAAATCGGCTCAAATTGGGTTGCACTCTAAGTCCTGCTTCCCTCATTGTCAGTCCATGGACAAGAACATGGTCTATGACTGTTGCTCGAATTTCATCAGATATTTCCACTCTTTGTCTTCCTCTTCCTCTTCATCCT